GACAAAGCAGCTGAATGGAATTTCCCTGTTATTCGTTATCCTAGTGCTACGTCTAATGTCCCTGCACACCAGCCGGCGGGAGTGTTTACAGGCCAACTTACTAGGTTCGAGTATGTTTGCAACAATTGGTATGACTTCAAAACTGCAGCAGCGATGCTCACACGCCGCATGCTTTTTCGCGGGCACTCTCCAACAACGTTTGCGAAAGGTGGACTTCCTATATTCGTAAACGTCAACACAGGTACCCTGCCCACGTGACCCGCCTCTCCAGCTGGTTCCACAACATGCTTCGATGGTCTATTCATCACCCGCTTTCTCGGGTGTCCACACATTGTCCTCGGACTACGCGTGTCACAGCCCCTTCTTCATTACCGGCGCCTGTCACACCTATCACAGCCTCTTCTTCATTACCTGCATCTGCTGCACCTGCGTCCTCATCAGTCGTAATGACCCCTTCCATGCCGTTTGTGACCCTGGCTACCCCTTTTCGATTCGCAGCCTCTTCCCCATCGGCCTTGGTTGCTTCTACGATTGATTCCGCGAGAGCAACTCGACCCGCAGCTGCTGTGTCGCCCTTGGTCTCGGTGTGTTTCTCCATGGCATCCGTGGCCACCACGATTGCTGTGTCGCCCTTGGTCTTGGTGTGTTCCTCCATGGCATCTGTGGCCACCACAACTGCTGTGCTGCCCTCGGTCTTGGTGTGCTCCTCCATGGCATCTGTGGCCATTCCTGCATTACCATATGCAGAGTCCCCTCTTCGGGTCTCACCTGCGACTGCCCCCCTTGTGTCCGCTTCAGCCACTCCACCACCCCTGACTTCATCCTTCCCATCTTCACCGCCTTTACTTCCCCTGGTTTTATCTCCGTCCGTTACCCACCTTTCGAGTACTGTACCGCCGCTGTCTTCACCACTCCTACCTCCCCTGGTTTTGTCTCCATCCGCTACCCCTCTTCCTAATCCACAAACCACCTCGTCCACACTGACTCCGTCATCATGTTCTTCCCCTGCAGAAAGCCCACTTCGCTGTCCTAGACGTCGGTTTCGACCTACTTCCCAACCTCACCTTACTCCCCTTTCCTCCATCTCTATTCTTGGACGAAGAAGAACCCGTTCATTCTCCCCACCACCGCCCTCCCCAACATCCCGGCCCCGTCTTTTGCCGCCCCAAGCGTCCTTACCATGCCTGCAACGCTCTTCGACTGCAGATCTTTCTGCAACGCGGCTAACACAAAATAGGAGGGATGATGGCGAGGGACCGTCCGAGGATGAACTTGGCAAGGGGCCTATAAGAGATTCTGTAGAAAATCCCCCTGACCGGCCTCCACCGAATTTTCTGTGGCCTCGCTGCTACTAACATCTGCCTACAAGCCTATCATCGGGAACCATATACTCACTCTGATTTTTTGGCCATTGCTTCCAATCTTGATGCTCAGGAACGTGAGTTATATGGCGATAACCCGTCTTTGCACCCCCCACAGGATAGTAATTACACTCGACATGGGGGATTCAATGTCTCGGTTTTGGAGACTGCTTTGATAAGGTGCCGGCTTGATGTGCAGCGTGCCCCTTTGGGTGGTGACCCGGACCACTGTTCGCGCGTTTGTGCCTATATTCTACATACTCCTGGCCACTACACTGCTCTTGTCCGTGCCTCTGGTTCTTGGGAATTATGGAATGGCGGTGCTATGGTGCAAACAATTAGTGCCATCTCTGATCTCGTGCGTCATTACCCTAACCTGCAATTGTTCCAGGTCATTGACCCTATGGGCACCTCCCGTACTTCCCCGCCCGCCTCTATGCCTATCTCTGTGCCTGCCTCCGTGCCTGTCTCTGTGCCTGCCTCTGTACCTGTCTCTGTGTCTGTTTCTGTGCCGGTTTCTGTGTCTGTTTCGGTGTCTGTCTCCTTCCAGATTACTGATTCTATCAGTACCATATGTACTTCCGTCCCCGCCTCTGCAGCTACCTCTGTGCCTGCCTCCACACCTGTCTCCATGCCCGTTTCTGTGTCTGTCTCCGTGCCAACCTCCACCACGTCTGTCACTGTGCCTGCTTTAGTCTTTATTTCGCCACATACTGCACTAACACCTTGTGACCTCCTTCTTTGTGAGATCACTGACACAATTACACTTGGTTGTGGAAAACATCGACTTTGTCGACATCACTACAACCATATAATTGTTTGGCCCCGCTGTCGGCAGGGATGCCACCTGTATCCGGATTGTGAACATCCTCTACATCCAGATGCAGTATGTCCCATCTGTGCTTGCGGGCGCTATAGTGAATGTGCACTTAACTGTGATGGTGAACGCCCCACAATCGTCATGGCCTGCAACCGGCATGCCCTCTTTCGTGCATGCTTTAGAGGTATGGTTAATGCTAGCCGCCCTGGCTCCTGCTGTGACGAAGTTGCTTACCTGAATGGTTTTCGTCCTATGGATCAGCGGGAGGGTTGCTACCATCGCCCGCATCCTTATGACAGTTGTCCTATTTGTCATGAGGGTCTTACTTAGACGTACCTTGCACCTTGACAAAAATGTGCAGGTGCGCTGAAAAGAGTGTACAAGAATGTGCAAAAGTGGGAAACCCTTCACTAGAACTGCAAAACAGTGAAGAATGCTGCAGTAAAAGAAGAATATAAGTCTGTGTCATTTTACTTTGTTTGTACCCTGCACCCTAACACCCTAAAACGAAAAGTCCAAAGGGTGAAAATGAGATTGTAAAATGAAGAAGGAAGTGCAGGTGCGCTGAAAACTGAACGTGGTAGACTCTTCACCAAAACTGCAAGAAAGAAGAATGCAGTAAAAGAAAGAAGATGTTTGTGTCAACGTTTTTTATTTTTATTTTTGTTTTTTCTCCCTCTGCCTGCTGGTTACCCTGTCTGCTCCTCTCTTCCTTGTGTTTAACACCTCTTCCTTCACTCTGCCTCTTTCCCGTAGCGTGCAAGTGGGCTATTATGGCATACAGGGATGGGGGCAGCTCGCACTCAACTTCATCAACGTGGCGAGCCTTGTACGTTAGAGGCACGGTGGAGGCGGCGTTAAGAAGACTGAGAAACTGAATGATTTCGATGTGCTTTCGTTTTTTTATTTTTATCCTTTCTTCAGGAGAGCTGCGCTGCATTGTGCTGGATGGGCAGCATGGTGGTCCTTGGGTGCATGTGGCATCTGTGAGTGGGGGATCGAGGTTGTGAGTGATACGAGAGACATACCTAGTGCTTGAGGCGAACGACATTGGCCGAGATCTGCTCGTACTTCGGGGAGTTGTTAACATCACCAGCGACATTGTAGATAGGCTAGATAGGATCTGCCATTTGTAGTCTGGGCGCCGAGCGCCAAATAGGATGTCGACATTGGTTCTTTGTTGATGATGAAGAGACTATTCGAACATTGTCACTCATGAGCTTTTGTTGTGCTCTTATTTGGTGGGACTCGTGTTGCAATTCTGCTTTTGGTTCGAGGTCACGACTATCTGGACTCATGTGTATGATGTTGCTTGGTTTCTGAAGTTTGCTATTGCTCATTTTCCTTGCAATTTGGTATTGGAGTTGTGGTACAGTGCGCTAATCTGGCGCTTGTCTTCTACCTATGCAGTACATGCACGTGGTCTGCTGGGCGAGCGGCCGTGGGAGGTGTGTAGTGAGGAGGGCGAAGGCAAGCAGGCGACCCAGGTGGAGTGGGGATCGCCAGGAAGGCTATGAGGTGACATGGGTGTTCGCAGTGTGATGAGAACTATCTGATGTGCGATTGATGCTGAGGTGGAACGACAGTGTAATGCTGATTGTGCTGAAGCAGCGATTGGTCATCACAATCAGCATCAGGTCATCTGGTGAGAATATCTGTGGTTGGGGGCAGCTATTTTGAGGTACGTTGCTCTTAACCTTATCTACCCTCTTCGACACTTCTTACTGTGAGTCAAGGATGCAGTGGCGACAAGCGGACCTTAGAGAGTTAGAGGAGATGGACCTGACTCATACGGATGACGATGTGAAGGTCGTGAGAACCGCCCTACTAGATGTAATAGAGATGCAGGACTATCACATGACACTTTTACAGGACATTCAGCAGAGCCTGGCCGTGCTGGCTGGGAGAGCTCAGGTAGTACCATCACCATCAGGGCTTGGTGCCTGGTCTCTGGTATAGCCTCCTCCTTTTGTCCCACTGGTGACTGGAGTATCCCCACATGCAGTCGCTCCCGCATCGGTCCAGACCACTTCCCTAGGTATGCCTTTGACAGGCGGGTTCTCAACAGGTCCTAGTGTACAGATTCCGGTACAGACAGTGTATTCCCAACCAATGTTGTAGACTGCCGTAACTGGGCAGTCTGTTGTCTCGCAGCCAGCACAGCCGCAGGGCACACAACCCCAACAGCAGCTAGTGTAGCAGCCTGCACCCCAGGGTCCACAGCCTGGAGTGGTGCAGGTACCGGGACAAAGCCAATGGGTTCCGAAGACGGCCATCGCCTCACCTAAACCCTTCTCAGGGGATAAGAGGGGCGAAGACCTTGACACATGGTTGAGGTCAGTGCCAATCTACGTTAAGTGTAAGTTAACCTTGTCGCACGAGGAAGTGCTTATGGTTGCCTCCTACCCGGAGGGGAGTGCAACAATATGCCTAAGTGGGTACGTGCAACTACAGGGGTATGGTCATGACTTTCTCGCTTGGGCAGTCAACCAGAAACTGGAAGACTTCCTTAAGCTGGTGGAAGAGAGGTGGCGTGATCCTCAGGAGGCCCCAAAGGCCACTGATGTGATCCTGACTTTGAGCTCTAGATCGTTCAAGTCAGTGAGAGATGCCACAGACACAGTAGAGCGTCTAATCTGTGTTCCTGGAATGCGTTACGACCCCCAAGTCTTACTGACCACTTACCTGAGGTGTCTTCCCATGCCACTCAGGAATCAGTTGGCAGGTAAGGCTAACATCAATGTGCACAACTTTCCCTCGTTCAGCAAGAGGGCCCTAGACCTGGAAGCAAAGATAGGGCATGGACATCAACCCATGACGGATGGTAGGAAGAAAGCACCGCCTCCCAACTGGAAGGCGAAGGGTCGCATCATGTTCGTTGACAACGATGATTCCACCATCAAGTTGGACGACGACTTCCAAGAAGGAGTAGGTTCAGAGGCAGACAACGTAGAGGCTTTAGGGGGTGGAGCAGTCGCTGCCTCTGTTAAGAAAGGTAAGGCGACCGGTCAACGCCGTGGAGGCTCCCGGTCGTGGAGTCAAGTTGACCCCAATGCTCCTCCATAGGAGAAAGCGGGTCTAAGTGAGGACGTGTGGAGAGACTGGTACACCCGACAGGTTTGTATCCATTGTGGCCAATACAACCATAATCAGTTCAAATGCCATAATAAAAAGGTGACCGAAAAGATCCCGCCTATAATGGGGCAGGCGTCGGGATCCTCCGCTTCCACAGGTAGCAATGTTGCCAGTAGTTCTGGAACTGGCCCGGGAAACACGTCGGGCTAGTAGGAATGGTAGCTGTTCCTGCTAGGGTCGAGGTGGTGGACACACCCTCGCCTCTCGAGAGATGGCCCAAGCTACTGACTCTAGTACCGTCATGCAAACACTTTCGGACCCATCGATCCTCTGTTCGTTGAATGTGTTTGAGTCCTTAGAGGAGCTAGAGGAGGACTGGTCTAGATCAGGCCCACTAGCTTCTTGGACGGCTATGGCCAAAGCCCCTAAGGGTGAGTTGTTCATCGGTGAGGTAGTCATCGGCGACCGCAAGGCCGGGGCCTATTATGACACTTGCTGGACGCGAAACTTTATCGGTCGCGCGTGCGAGAGGCTGCGCTTACAGGGGCAAGTGCAGCGCCTGAGTCGACCTGTGCCAACAAACAGCGCATGGTAGTCAACGGCTACCTTAAAGACATCGAGTGTTGTTTTCTGTACGCAGGGGGGGAACTGAGGCATCGCGCCTCGTTCCTAGGCAGCGATGATCTCCCAATGGACATCTTGTTAGGTATGTACTATCTTTCGGTTGCACAACCCTAGTTTGACTAAGACCGAAAAGTGGTCAAACACAGGAGGGACCGCCATATTACATAAGTTTAAGGCTAGTAGTCTGATTGAGTCCTACGGATGCATGTGTGCGGCCGCGTTTTATAATTATTATAAACAAAATCCGGAGGAGGGTATGTACTTAGTTTATATCTCTGCAGCAGGCGAGCCGGTGAAAATGCCGCCAGAGATAGAGGGAGTAGTTTCTAAGTACCTTGACCTATTTGAAGAGTCGAAAGGGGTTGTTGAGAGGGAGGTCGTCCACGCGATAAAGATTATCCCAGGGCTTAGCATTCCGAAGGGTAGGATCTATCGGATGTCTCCAGCGGAGCTTGACGAGCTTCGCCGACAGCTCAAGGAAGTCATAGAGAAGGGTTGGATCCGACCGAGTGTTTTCGCTTACGGATCTCCTGTATTATTCGTAACGAAGAAGGGGGGAACCTTGAGGATGTGCATTGACTATAGGGGCCTCAATGCCATCACTGTTAAGAACAGAGAGCCCCTACCACGCATCGATGACTTGTTGGACCGAGTGCAAGGGTGCCGGTACTTCAGTAAGATAGATCTGAAGTTCGGGTACCATCAGATTGCAATACGGCCTGAGGATCAACAAAAAACCGCTTTTCAGACCAGTTACGGTATGTACGAGTTTGTGGTGATGCCTTTCGGTTTTTGCAATGCTCCTGGCACCTTTTAGCACGCAATGAACCGGATCTTTCATGATTACTTGGACAAGTTTGTCATCATGTACCTCGATGACATACTTATCTTCAATAAGACTGCCGAGGAGCATGTTGGCCATTTAGATAAAGTTTTTATTCTCCTTCCGCAACACTTGTTCAAGATCAATGGGGAGAAGTTCGAGTTCGGCCGCACCCGGATCTTGTATCAGGATCATGAGATTTCCGCGGAAGGATTGAAGCCCGATGACGCGAAGGTGGCCAGCATTCATTACTGGCCGCATCCTCAGTTTGTGATTGAGATGAGGTCCTTCTTAGGGATGACCGATTACTACTGCAATTTTGTTAAGAACTATAGCATAGTTGCCGCCCCCTTTGACGGACCTGACACGCCTTGACACCCCATGGGAGTGGACAGATAGGTGTGAGGCTGCCTTCAGACATCTGAAGCATGCTTTGACACGCCATGAGGCCTTAAAACTTCCAGATCCGGACAAGCCGTTTATGGTAACCACGAATGCCAGCCAATATGGCATAGGCGTCGTGCTCGCGCAGCAGGAGGGGCCAAAGTTGAGGCCCGTCGAGTACATGTTAAAAAAGATGCCCTCTCAGAAGTTGGCTAAGTCCACTTATGAGAAGGAGCTCTATGTGATCTACAAAGCGCTAACCCACTGGAGGCACTACCTCCTTGGGAGGTTCTTCCACATCAGGACTGATCATCAGACCTTGAAGTGGATGAGAACCCAGCTAGTGCTCTCGGATGCGTTGAAAAGATGGATCGAAGTCATTGAGCAGTATGACTTCGAAACTCGGTACATCAAAGGAGAGTACAACGGAGTCGCTGATGCGCTGTCGTGTAGGCCAAACTTCCTCGGTGCGCTGATCACTGAGTTTAGGCTTGCGGATGATGTTACTCGTTCTCTGGTGGAAGCCTGTCGCGAGGATCCGTTTATGGGTGAGATCATACGCAGACTCGAGGCGAAGGACAAAGTGACTTCTGCCGCGTTTGAGTTGGTCAACGGCCTGCTGTTCCTTAAGAAGGCTGGGAATAAACGCTTGTGTGTGCCTAATAGAGAGTCTTTGCGTAGTTTATTTTTAGGTGAGTGTCGTGATGCCATAGGACATTTTGGCTACAAAAAGACTGCAGCCAACTTGCTGCAGCAGTTATGGTGGCTCACAATGATGAGAGGCGCCAAGCTGTACGTGGAGACTTATCAGGTATGTTAGAGAGACAAGCCACGTACATAGGCCCCTCTTGGGCTTCTCAAGCCCCTTCCGATACCGGAAAGGCCCGGTGAGAGCCTGTCCATGGATTTTATGGACACGCTGGTCACCAGCAAGAGTGGAATGTGATATGTCTATGTCATTATGGATAGGTTTGGTAAGTATGCTAGGTTACTCGCAATGCCTGCAACAACCAAGACTGAGTACGTAATCAAGCTGTTCAAGGAAAACTGGGTCAGGGATTTTGGATTGCCAAAGTCTATTGTGAGTGACCGGGACGTGCGATTTACTAGCGAACTGTGGAAGGCTGCAGCTGCAGAACAGGGTACACAACTGCAGATGACCTCCAGGAACCACCCAGAGGCAAATGGGCAAGCAGAGCAGCTGAATCGCGCTGTACAACACCTGTTGAGGCACTACATTAAGCCCAACCAGGTGGACTGGGATGAGAAACTAGCTCTCATCGCCAGCCTGTACAACAATGCTGTGCACAGCGCAACGGGGGTGAGTCCAAACAGCCTGCTACTGACATTCAAGCCTGGACTGCCTCTAGACTTCCTACTACCTGAGAATCAGCCGACAGCTGCACCTAGTACACTAGAATTTGCATATTGACATGAACAGTTGATGCAGCGAGCTGTAGAGCAGATGCACAAGGCACAGGCGGCGGTGATAGAATCTGAGAACAAGCACCGCCGCCCATCTACATTCCAGGTAGGGGACAGAGTCTGGGTCAAGTCCTCAGAACTGGGACAAGAGCACGGGATATCCCGTAAGCTCATGCCACAGTACTTTGGACCCTGGGAGGTTCTGGATATTGTCGGGGATGTTCCGGATGGGCCGTCATATGTAGTTCAGATCCCTGGTCACCGTCGCACTTACCCTGTCTTTCACGCCTCCAAGCTTGCACCTTTCAGGGATACTGATCAGTTTTCCTCGCGCCGATCAATGCTGCCCCCAACCATGGATGGAGAGGTCGATATTGACGACATCGTGGACCACAGGGAGTTGCCAGTTCCAAGACCAACCGGCAGGGGACGTCCTCCCAAGCCAAAGCTGCAATATCGCGTTTGGTTCAGACATCACACTGATCCAAAGGAGGATAGATCTTTCACCCGGGAGGAATTGATGCAGACTGCTCCACAGGTTGTCGCCAACTACGAGAAGTTGCTGCAAAAAGGAAAGCGCCAGATTGAATGAACTTCTCAGAGGACTAGCGAAGTATGGAGGACGGAATGCGAGGCACAAGGCCTCGGTAAGCCCTACTGGGCCTGTTTATCAGCAAGGTCGGCCGCACTAAGTGAAGGCAGGCCCGACCTAGGCCTATTTTGGACTACTACGCAACTGAAAGGAAATTCAGGCAGTTGCGCAGCGCCAGTTGGTTGGAAGCACCCAGGCCCAGGATGCCTTTATCAAATCTAACTGAGGCAGGCCTTGGGCCAGATACGCAACACGAACAGAACACAGGCTGCGGGCAGTTGGGCACGGGTAACCACCACAGGCCCTGGGTCTGAGGCTCTGCCTCAGGGGCCTACCGGAAGCTTCTGGGCTGGGGCCCAGTGCAGTCTAGCCGCACGCAGCAGGCAGGCCACTTCCATTTAGGAAAGGGCCTGCCTCCAGATTCGGCATTCGGGCACTGGCTGCATGCTGCGCAAGCGCTGCAGCGCTAATCGCTGGCCAGGCCCACGCGCTCACGGGCGAGCAGGGAGAGCAGGCAGCCATAGCCGAGCTGCGCTGCGTTGTGCTGGATGGGCCGCATGGTGGTCCTTGGGTGCATCTGGCATCTGTGAGTGGGGGATCGAGGTTGTGAGTGATAGGAGAGACATACCTGGTGCTTGAGGCGAACGGAATTGGCTGAGATCTGCTCGTACTTCGGGGAGCTGTCGACGTCACCAGCGGCATTGTAGATAGGCTAGATAGGATTTGCCATTTGTAGTCTGGGCGCCGAGTGCCAGATAGTATGTCGACATTGGTTCTTTGTTGATGATGAAGAGACTATTCGAACATTGTCACTTATGAGCTTTTGCTGTGCTCTTATTTGGTGGGACTCGTGTCGCAATTCTGCTTTTGGTTCGAGGTCACCACTATCTGGACTCATGTGTATGATGTTGCTTGGTTTCTGAAGTTCACTATCGCTTATTTTCCTTGCATATGTATATATATATGTACATATGGATTGATGCCTATTACGTACGGCTGATTACAGATGGTTCAGATTCAACAAAGACCTCTCTTCTTTCTGTTGTGGCGTAGTTTTGCTTGGTGAAACTAAACTAAACTAAACTAAACTAAACTAAACTAAACTAAACTAAACTAAACTAAAGTTAAAAGTTAAAGTTAAACTACAAGAAATAAAATAAAGTAAAATGAAATGATTAAAATCCCCCTAATGTATATCCTGGAGGAGAGAACTGCAGTGGTCTCACAGGAAGAGATAGTGATTGTTAGGGTTTCGGGATTTGAACCCACAACCTGCCCAGTTATTTGTTGTATTTTATATTTGTATTATTTGGAGTTTTTTCTGTCATTTTTGTTCTTGCCTGGATTTGAACCTGGGACCAAACGAAGCCTGGATTTGAACCTGGGACCAAACAAAGTAAGAACAGATGAGTTTTGAACCTGGGACCTGTGTATACAGTCCCTAATTGCCAAGCATAGTGGTGGGATCTTTGTGGCCGGTAGTTTTAGGGTTTTCTTTTGGTAGGCGGACACTGTAGGTGTTACATGCCCAGATGGGCGATGTACATAATAACCGAGGATCCGCAATGTGATGAAAAGGACTGAATGGACAATGCAGTGCAAGTAGAATCTCAACAAGCAATGTGCATTCCGCCGGTACATACGAAATGGTGCTGAATAGCGCAGGGAAGACTTAGATACAAATCCTGACCTGACTGGGACTGACCCCTTTCACGTAGTACAAGATAGCGAAGCAGAGTGCTAGAATACTAATGACTAGCCCAATCAATGTTTCAACGCAGACCAAACATACATCATGCTCATCACAACGTGTGAAGGGGCCTGGCACTTTACGCAGGAAAGAAGCGCCAGGTCCAGACATACACAGACGAAGAGGAGGGGATCAGACGAAGAAGAGGAAGGGGGATATGGGAAAGTCGTCAACACCGAGTCTCGTTATAAGTCCCAAATAATCCCTCTTCAAAATGTCTGAAGTCC